TTTTCAAATTCTGGCGGCTCAGCTGCCATAGTTCCGGTTGCCATGACGATGTCATCTCACTTTATGACATCACAGATAATAGACTACAAAGCCCCTCACTTCTGTACAGGTTTTCGTACAAGTAAGACGTGTTTGTTTCCAGAGAGTGAGAAGCAGGAGATTTCGACAAATTCTTCCAACAACACTTTCAGTTTTAGTTCTACGAGAGAAAAACACGACAGAAATGGAACGTTCAACCCCAGGTAAGTTCAAGCCAGGATCTCAACTCTGTGTGGAAAACGTTGAAATGCAACACTGGTTTTGTTCCAGATTTGATGTTTTTTGGTGAACTACAGATTTAATTTCACACAATACACATTTTTCTGGTCAGTACATTGAAATTTCAAGTTTGAAAAGTTACAATATGTTTTGCGTCTCAACCAAAATGCAGTCACTTTGCATTGTGTTGTATGTACGCTGTACAGAAAGTACTGCAACTGTGATCAGATTTGCAATATATGTTTAAAAAGTAGGATTCTGTTCTGTGTGAACATAGAAACAAATCCAGGCACATTCACATGGGAGAGATCTGAACTGACAAACTAATACAAAGAGCCCATGGATTTCAGAACATGTTTGTAGAGCTCTTAACTACAGTGTGAGCAGCTTTTACACAGAATAAGACCCTGTAGAGACACAAAGAGGACATGTGACACACAGGAACATTTCAGGATATGTTTGTAAAAGTCGAAATGACTAAATAATTGCACCAACTCAAATTGTGATTTCGATCCGATTGTGAGATCTTGGGCAAGCCTTGATGCATGTTAGGACATTTGATTAACTGATTATTTGTACTTTTGTGATTTTTGTCCAGAATTAAGGCGCAGTGTCCGTCTTCAGGAAAAGGGTTATTATGGACCACAGGACAAATCCGTCATCAGCTACAAGGAAAGACTCTTCAAGTAAGTTTGAGTTCTGTGATATAAAAAGAGCTTCATTTCAATAGCAGAGTACAGGGCTGTGGTAACAATGGGACCACACTGGGACCAGCGGTGAAAAGTAAAATACTAATGTTTCTGTAGTTAAGTAGATTTTGGGGGATAATTGTGACTAAAAGCTCACAAGAGTCAGTTTTGTGTAATATAGGATCTTTAAGCTCATACTGGACTGTACTACACTTGGACTTGTGACTGAGTACAGCTTTAACTAAGTAACTGTACTTTTACTTAAGTAACTCAGTCCCTAGAATCCCAAATGACACTGAACTCTACTTTTACTTTTACATTTCTACAAAATGACTCATTCCAAATGTTTTCTTGTTTGCAGAGTCTTCAAGCGACGAAGGCAGAGACAGCGTGATGATGAAAAGCATCACTTTGTGCCACTGCCACTGCCACTGCCTACTGCCACTGCCACTGCCTTCTCGAACTAATTCAACCAAACAGCCAAAGCCCAACTACCTGCCCACCCAAGCCCAGCTGTTAGTGCTTTGGATCATGGTGTTGTTCATCCTGTTTGCAGCCGTCGCACTTTCACTGTTGGAAGATGGTAAGTAACATGTCCAAAATACTTTTCATTTAAATGATTCTACCTGAAAAGCGTGTAACCCATGTTTTTGTTGTATTCAGCGTCTCAGAGAGAAGCAGGAGGTGCAGGAGATGTAGGAGGTGCAGGAGGTGCAGGAGATGCAGGAGGTGCAGGAGGTGCACTAGGAGGGGACAGAGCAGTACTAGCAGCAGGAGATGTAGGACGTGTAGGAGGTGTAGGAGGTGTAGGAGGTGCACTAAGAGGGCACAGAGCAGTACTAGCAGCAGGAGATGCTCCACTGATGGTAAACTACGCTCTTCTGTCACAGCGTAAGTATCAAACCTCTTACAAACATGTCTTTAATTACACTACACCTGACGGCTACTGGCTCTGTTTCATCCATTTGATTTCTATAGTACATTTTATAAACAAATGAACACAAACATAAACCTTGTCCTTTAAGAAACTACACAACAAAAATAAATACATGCAAGTATATTTCATGAAGTGAAAAATGTGGTGACTTCAAATGTATTTTTAAAAGTCTCAGTGTACAGTAGAAGAAATGGTTTGACTCGCTGACTAAATCCAAAAATGGATCTTTGTCTCATTTTCCCCACAGAGGCCACAGTTCTCCGATCTCGCTCTAGCCCCACCTACTTTCGACACGGTGTATTGGAGATGATCCAGTGGCTGTTGTGCTCCAAACATCTCTTTGTGCTGCGCCCTGATTCCCCCCTGATCCCCGGCTACTGCTGGCCCTTCGCTGGAGACAAAGGACACCTTCACATCCAACTGGCCCAGAACATCCAAATTACCCACGTGACACTGGGGCACATCACCAAGACCCAATCGCCAACCGGGGAGACCACATCGGCACCCAAGCACTTCGCTGTCTACGTAAGTCATGGGTTCTGTTCTATTTATTTTGTTTTATTGAAGCTGGTATTTGTAATTTGGAAAAGTGGAAGTAGATAGATGGATACTGTATTTCTAAACACGTCCAGAAGAATTGAAAAAAAGACCAAAATATGACTGAAACTGAAAACTGACTGATCGAAACTCCAGGGTTAACTGTTTTTGTATCCTAGTTAATATTAGTTGAACTTCATTTGGTCCTCCTGTTTCAGTCTCCTTCATTCCAAATTGTTTAAGATCAATTTTATCTTGAACCTAAAATCTGTTTAAGTCCTGATGTCCTTATTTAATCCACACATTAAACTAAACATCTGATTTTCTTCTTTTTTTTAGGGGAAGATGACGTTGGATGGAACGGAGCAACTACTCGGACGATTTTTCTACGACACGGGGGAACCGGGTTTCCAAACGTTTGCGATTTCAGGAGGGAAAGGTGTATCTTTTAAACATGTACGACTGCAGGTGGAGTCCAACTGGGGCAACACGGAATACACCTGTCTGTACAATTTTAAGGTGCACGGAACACCTGCGCCCCCTGTCGGCCAAGTCACGCCCCCTCAACAAGGACAGTGTCATTGATAATACTTTATCAGAACTGATCTTGAACAGAGTGGACCGGTCGGCTTTGTGGAAAGAGGTCAGCAGATCCACTGTTTGTCTCAAAATCAGCATGATGAGTATTGAAACCCATGTGTATATGAGGGCTGTTCTGTCTATCCTCTCCCCTGAGTCTTCCACAGCAACCATGATGGTGACCTTTCACCCCCCAGGAGACGCACAGGAGGCCAACGTTGGATCAGTTAATCTGAGATTGGATTTGATGTGGTTTAGTTCCAGCAGCCTATAGACCAGGTTTGGATCTGGTGTTAGACCTGGTTCAGACCTGGTTTAGTCTTCGTTTAGACCTAGTTTAGTCCTTGGTTTAGACATGGTTTAGTTCTTGTAGCCCTGACCCAATCACGCTGAGGCAGAGGCGCCCTCCTGTGGCCTGGATCTGCCAGAGGTTTCTTCCTCAAAGGGAGTTTTTCCTCTCCACTGTCGCTCTGGAGGTTAATGGGTCAGTTTTAGACCAGGTTTAGATCTGGTATAGACTTGTATACTATAGACTACGGAAAAGGGAAAGATAAACCTGAAGACTGGAACTACCGCATCTGAAAATTGGAAAATAAAAACCATTAAATTAAATATTGTTTGTTTTAATTTCTCTGTTAAGTAAAAAATATTGTCAAAGAACTCTAGTGCACTCACAGATTTACATGAAGGCCAAAGTAAACTGCACTGATTCTGTGTCTGTTTATTGAATCAAGTTTCAGTTGAGTAAAGATGAAAAAAAAAAAAAAAGACTTTCAAAAAAGTCATTCTAGCTTGTGTGCATTTCTTTCTCTGTTAATTTCATTACTGGTTCTGCCAGTAAGTGATTTAATAGACGACATTTTCAAAAATACATTGGAAAATTTACAGATTTCAGAAAAGGGGCGATATCTTGATATTTTAAATATGTGGAGATATTTTTTAAACACAAATTGGATTCGGACAGATCGTATATGTCTATATATTTAATTCTGAGCTTGCTGCTTCGCTTGTTTGCCCCTCCCCTCCCACGCTCCCCTCCCCCCAAAGTTGGTGCCAACTAAAAGCTTCAAGCACCACCAACCTTTTCCACCATTTACAGACTCCCCATCAGCAGCACATCCTCTGTCACAGAGAGAACACTCATATTCCACTGAGAAACTGACTGCATAAACTGACTGTATCTGGACGACTGAAGGATTACACAACATGAACATGAAGCTTTTGAAGCTTTTGACACTTACAGACTCAGTCACCAAAAGAGGAACCAAAGCAAGGAATAAAATAGTGAGTCCTCGTTTTGCCAAATCCCCAAACATAAACAGCGAAATTACCAAATTACCAGTACAAATTTAGCTTTTGATTCTTACTGTAAATATATATATTTTATATATACATATATTAGTTTTACAAGATGCAAGGTTGGATGCACCATTTGTTATGTCTAAAATATTCCACAGTGTGTCAGTTTAGTGTTGGTGTTGGACATAGTTAGGACGACTGTAGAATGTGTACTGGGACACTTCATCCAGACAATAAATACTCCGGTCAGAGAGTAGAAACAGAACCAGAACATATTTTGGAGCTTTAATGTCCTGTCTTCAATTTCTTAATCTGTGGTTTGATTTCATCTGAACTATCCTTTCATCTGAACTATGTGTTTATCTGTACTATCCTTTTGTCTGGTAATCTAGAGGAACATTTGAATCATTTTACTAACTGAAGTTACACACACATATAATCAGTCTATGAATAACAGTTAAACACTTTACATCAACAATCAGGTAAATTAATTAAATTAATCCAGTGCATAAAGTTAATTGGCATCAGAACATTACAAAGCAATTAAAGAAACAATTAAACAACTAATTTACTAATCTACATTTACACTGAAACGAATCCACGTATCACTGTATCATCGTACCGCCGTATCGGAAATTATCTGCGTCCAGACATGTCGTTTCTGTGTCCGTAATCAAAATCTTCCTCGTCCACACGGTAACGCAAAACTGCCTGAAACGCTAGTCACATGATAGGCTGGAGTCACGTCGTCACAGCGTCCCGATGTCACGTGAGCGGTAAAAACAAGGAAGTCTGAAATTGCAGCAGCTGATTTTGAACTGAGGGAGATGGTGAGTGTAAAAACAGTTTTCTTTTCATAGACCGACGACCAGGTTCAGTTGTTACTTAGTGTAAAACTGGATTTTAAGACGAGCATGTTGGCTCAGAGTGAGGACTGACTCGCTTCTGTGTCCGCAATCCTTTCTTATCCACACAGCTTTGAGCATGTTTGTTTACGTTTTACAGAAACAAAACTTAAAACCACATGGCTAATTTGCATAAACTAAGCTCAAAAAAACAGCTCACTATTATGCGCTGATGTGGTTCAGCTTCTGTCAGACCAAAGGACCCGACTCAGTGGAATATGAGTGTTCTTTCTGTGACAGAGGGGTGTTCTGTTGATGGTGAGTCTGTTCTGTGTTTCTGTCGCGTTGGAGATGGTTCATGTGAAACTTTTCAGAGATTATACATCTGCAGGTCGTGCACACAGACACACGTTTATATGAATGGACACATATTCTAGCCTCTTAGCGTTTTGGCGGTGAATTACTTTGTGGTGCATAGAACCAGATGAATGTACTCAGATGAATTCGAGGGAGCTGGTGGCACCAGATCGTTCCGTCTCTGGAGCCGTTTTCAATGGGCTCTACTAGTGTGGATGGGGTCTAACAGTAACAGTGTTACCATGGTGCTAAGGACCCCTGAGCTGTTTACAGAGGCCTGATTAAAACAAACAGATCCCTTCGAGAATAGACAACAGCTAGTGAAGAAATGTGAGCTACAGGTTTAAAATCATATTGAGGAACATTCCAGGTAGGGTGACCAGATTTTCAAGATTAAAAACTGGGACACACCCGGGTTGGGATGGTAGGTATAAATAAAATAGTGAAAAAAATGTGTAGCACTGTCCATTCTGTGTATAATCTGAGACAAAATACAGAAGTGCAGTCTTCTGGCTATACTAGTTTGTCAAAGCCTGATCCTATCAGATCTCAGAAGCTCAGCAGGACCGGGTCTGGTCAGTACTTGGATGAGAGACACTGGGAAAATCAGGAGCCACAGGGGGGCGCCAGTCGTAAAAAAAAATGTCATTGTGTCCTTAGGCAAGGCACTTCACCCTCATTGCCTCGCATGAAAGTGGTGTGTCTGTGTGAGTGATGGTGGTGGTCGGAGGGACTGATGGCGCAGACTGGCAGCCTCACTTCCATCAGTCTGCCCCAGGGCAGCAGTGGCTACAATAGTAGTTTACCACCACTGGGTCTGGAGAGACTGAATAATGCTCTGTAAAGCGTCTTTGAGTGTCCAGAAAAGTGCTGTATAAAACTGATGCATTATTATTATTATGGATTTTGGCTAAGCAAATGCAATTTATGCTCCTCTGGTTTGGACCTGGTTTAGACCTGAAATAGACCTGATATAGTCCTGGTTTGGTCCGAGTTTAGACATTGTTTAGACCTGATATATTTCTCTTTTAACCCTAGTTTATTCCTGGTTTAGACTTGGTTTAGACCTGATATATTTCTATGTTACAGACCTGCAAACTTGTCGCTTTTCAACTACAATCGCCTTTTACTTGGTCAATAGGGTCATTTATGTGGATCACATAGAACCAGAGAAGTTTTTTTTTTTTTTGGGAAGGGTTCTGATTCTGATTAAGTGTTTACCTGGTCTTTTTAAAGCGGAATCGTTTTTTATTCCGAATTATATTCAATTAAAATATTTTTTATTGAAATTAAAGCTCTCACGTAAACGAGCCCCATTTTAAAGTTTATAAATCATTTTATAAATCTAACCCCATTTGATCAGATTTTAGACCTTCACCCACAGTTTGAGAAGCCCTTCTTTAATTCCACTTGCACTGGCACTTTACACTAAACTGCTTCAAAGTGAAGAAAGTAGGCAGGTTTTAGAAACCTGTTTTTTTCAAATTCCTAACTGGAGTTGCATTATCTTATTGGTTTGACAGTGGGATTTAGCCTCTGCACATTTACCAAACGCACATCGTGACAAATAGATTTATTTGGCGTTTATGAGTCAAACCAGTCCACATGTTGCAGTAGGTCTGCTCTGTGCTGTAGACCTGCTGTGCCCACACTGGAGATTTCATTTAGATGAGTTTTTGCTTCACGTTTTGTATTGCCCTTCAAATCAACGCAACTGAGCCGAAGTGCTCTACATGCAGGGAGCAGAGAGAGAGCGTGAAAAGGTGAGGAGCAGCGTGCTGAAGTGATGGACAGGTAGGATGTTTAAAAAGTTGAACCTGTCCTGTGATACACGCAGGTACATGAAAGCACACACTGTTGTGGACAAACTGCACGTGCTATCACTGCATCATTTTTACACACATTACATTAACACACCAATATTACAATTACCAATGCACACAGTCTGTGTTTTAATCTGTACAATTCCATATAGAACTTATTCTTGTGTTGTTTTTCAAATTCTGGCGGCTCAGCTGCCATAGTTCCGGTTGCCATGACGATGTCATCTCACTTTATGACATCACAGATAATAGACTACAAAGCCCCTCACTTCTGTACAGGTTTTCGTACAAGTAAGACGTGTTTGTTTCCAGAGAGTGAGAAGCAGGAGATTTCGACAAATTCTTCCAACAACACTTTCAGTTTTAGTTCTACGAGAGAAAAACACGACAGAAATGGAACGTTCAACCCCAGGTAAGTTCAAGCCAGGATCTCAACTCTGTGTGGAAAACGTTGAAATGCAACACTGGTTTTGTTCCAGATTTGATGTTTTTTGGTGAACTACAGATTTAATTTCACACAATACACATTTTTCTGGTCAGTACATTGAAATTTCAAGTTTGAAAAGTTACAATATGTTTTGCGTCTCAACCAAAATGCAGTCACTTTGCATTGTGTTGTATGTACGCTGTACAGAAAGTACTGCAACTGTGATCAGATTTGCAATATATGTTTAAAAAGTAGGATTCTGTTCTGTGTGAACATAGAAACAAATCCAGGCACATTCACATGGGAGAGATCTGAACTGACAAACTAATACAAAGAGCCCATGGATTTCAGAACATGTTTGTAGAGCTCTTAACTACAGTGTGAGCAGCTTTTACACAGAATAAGACCCTGTAGAGACACAAAGAGGACATGTGACACACAGGAACATTTCAGGATATGTTTGTAAAAGTCGAAATGACTAAATAATTGCACCAACTCAAATTGTGATTTCGATCCGATTGTGAGATCTTGGGCAAGCCTTGATGCATGTTAGGACATTTGATTAACTGATTATTTGTACTTTTGTGATTTTTGTCCAGAATTAAGGCGCAGTGTCCGTCTTCAGGAAAAGGGTTATTATGGACCACAGGACAAATCCGTCATCAGCTACAAGGAAAGACTCTTCAAGTAAGTTTGAGTTCTGTGATATAAAAAGAGCTTCATTTCAATAGCAGAGTACAGGGCTGTGGTAACAATGGGACCACACTGGGACCAGCGGTGAAAAGTAAAATACTAATATTTCTGTGGTTAAGTAGATTTTGGGGGATAATTGTGACTAAAAGCTCACAAGAGTCAGTTTTGTGTAATATAGGATCTTTAAGCTCATACTGGACTGTACTACACTTGGACTTGTGACTGAGTACAGCTTTAACTAAGTAACTGTACTTTTACTTAAGTAACTCAGTCCCTAGAATCCCAAATGACACTGAACTCTACTTTTACTTTTACATTTCTACAAAATGACTCATTCCAAATGTTTTCTTGTTTGCAGAGTCTTCAAGCGACGAAGGCAGAGACAGCGTGATGATGAAAAGCATCACTTTGTGCCACTGCCACTGCCACTGCCTACTGCCACTGCCACTGCCTTCTCGAACTAATTCAACCAAACAGCCAAAGCCCAACTACCTGCCCACCCAAGCCCAGTTTGAGGTTTTGGGCATGGTGTTGTTCATCCTGCTTGGAGCCATCTTGTTTATTTATACACTGCAGGAAGATGGTAAGTAACATGTCCAAAATACTTTTCATTTAAATAATTCAACTTGAAAAGCGTGTAACCCATGTTTTTCTTGTTTTCAGTGTACCAGAGAGAAGCAGGAGGTGCAGGAGATGTAGGAGGTGTAGGAGGTGCAGGAGATGCAGGAGGTGCAGGAGGTGCACTAGGAGGGGACAGAGCAGTACTAGCAGCAGGAGATGTAGGACGTGTAGGAGGTGTAGGAGGTGTAGGAGGTGCATAAGAGGGCACAGAGCAGTACTAGCAGCAGGAGATGCTCCACTGATGGTAAACTACGCTCTTCTGTCACAGCGTAAGTATCAAACCTCTTACAAACATGTCTTTAATTACACTACACCTGACGGCTACTGGCTCTGTTTCATCCATTTGATTTCTATAGTACATTTTATAAACAAATGAACACAAACATAAACCTTGTCCTTTAAGAAACTACACAACAAAAATAAATACATGCAAGTATATTTCATGAAGTGAAAAATGTGGTGACTTCAAATGTATTTTAAAAGTCTCAGTGTACAGTAGAAGAAATGGTTTGACTCGCTGACTAAATCCAAAAATGGATCTTTGTCTCATTTTCCCCACAGAGGCCACAGTTCTCCGATCTCGCTCTAGCCCCACCTACTTTCGACACGGTGTATTGGAGATGATCCAGTGGCTGTTGTGCTCCAAACATCTCTTTGTGCTGCGCCCTGATTCCCCCCTGATCCCCGGCTACTGCTGGCCCTTCGCTGGAGACAAAGGACACCTTCACATCCAACTGGCCCAGAACATCCAAATTACCCACGTGACACTGGGGCACATCACCAAGACCCAATCGCCAACCGGGGAGACCACATCGGCACCCAAGCACTTCGCTGTCTACGTAAGTCATGGGTTCTGTTCTATTTATTTTGTTTTATTGAAGCTGGTATTTGTAATTTGGAAAAGTGGAAGTAGATAGATGGATACTGTATTTCTAAACACGTCCAGAAGAATTGAAAAAAAGACCAAAATATGACTGAAACTGAAAACTGACTGATCGAAACTCCAGGGTTAACTGTTTTTGTATCCTAGTTAATATTAGTTGAACTTCATTTGGTCCTCCTGTTTCAGTTCCTTCATTCCAAATTGTTTAAGATCAATTTTATCTTGAACCTTAAATCTGTTTAAGTCCTGATGTCCTTATTTAATCCACACATTAAACTAAACATCTGATTTTCTTCTTTTTTTAGGGGAAGATGACGTTGGATGGAACGGAGCAACTACTCGGACGATTTTTCTACGACACGGGGGAACCGGGTTTCCAAACGTTTGCGATTTCAGGACGGAAAGGTGTATCTTTTAAACATGTACGACTGCAGGTGGAGTCCAACTGGGGCAACACGGAATACACCTGTCTGTACAATTTTAAGGTGCACGGAACACCTGCGCCCCCTGTCGGCCAAGTCACGCCCCCTCAACAAGGACAGTGTCATTGATAATACTTTATCAGAACTGATCTTGAACAGAGTGGACCGGTTGGCTTTGTGGAAAGAGGTCAGGAGATCCACTGTTTGTCTCAAAATCAGCATGATGAGTATTGAAACTTCCTCCCGACCAGTTGGAATCTGTAGAAAGAAATTGGAAGTTTGTCTAAATGACATTTCTTGGGCAATTTGAGGTTTAAAGGACGACAGTAACGACAGGTGAACCAAAGAAATACACAGGGGTTTTTGGTGCCACTGTTACTGTAGCGTCGTACGGCTAAATCTCCAACAGGAATAGTGTAACTTACACTGTCTACTGAAGTTTATATCTCAGTAGATATGAGTGTAAATGTTTCCAAATTTGTCAAAAGAACAGTAGGCTCCGGTTAAACCCACGTGTATATGAGGGCTGTTCTGTCTATCCTCTCCCCTGAGTCTTCCACAGCAACCATGATGGTGACCTTTCACCCCCCAGGAGACGCACAGGAGGCCAACGTTGGATCAGTTAATCTGAGATTGGATTTGATGTGGTTTAGTTCCAGCAGCCTATAGACCAGGTTTGGATCTGGTGTTAGACCTGGTTCAGACCTGGTTTAGTCTTCGTTTAGACCTAGTTTAGTCCTTGGTTTAGACATGGTTTAGTTCTTGTAGCCCTGACCCAATCACGCTGAGGCAGAGGCGCCCTCCTGTGGCCTGGATCTGCCAGAGGTTTCTTCCTCAAAGGGAGTTTTTCCTCTCCACTGTCGCTCTGGAGGTTAATGGGTCAGTTTTAGACCAGGTTTAGATCTGGTATAGACTTGTATACTATAGACTACGGAAAAGGGAAAGATAAACCTGAAGACTGGAACTACCGCATCTGAAAACTGGAAAATAAAAACCATTAAATTAAATATTGTTTGTCTTAGTTTCTCTGTTAAGTAAAAAATATTGTCAAAGAACTCTAGTGCACTCACAGATTTACATGAAGGCCAAAGTAAACTGCACTGATTCTATGTCTGTTACACATACAGAATCTTGATAACAAGTATTTAAAAGTCAACCATTATTTTGATTGAGGATAATAGAACATTTAGACATAATAGAACCGGGTACACATCCAGTGTACTCCGGTTATGTGTGTGCCAACTTGTGTGATGACTGGGTGAATATTTTAGGCCGCAGATGGTTCAGAAATTGCTGAAATTGCTGAACCTTCATAATGGCATGACCTTTCAACTGACCGGTGTGACCTCAAATGACCTCAGATTGTCACCAAACGTTTTTTTTTTTTTTTTTTTGCGGCATCGGGCACGGGGGCTTGACCCATGTACCAAATTTGGTGACAATCGGTCCATAAATGGCGGAATTATCGCGCGTGGACAGACACATACAGACACACAGGGTGAATAAAAAACCTGGTCAGCCCTTCTGGGACCAGGTAATAAGTCAAGTCTCTGAGTTCAAGATCCTACACCTCTGCATACAGACAGGATCCAACAGTGTCCACTATTTCACACAAAGCAAGTGCAGCAATTGCAAAGTAGTATTTAAAGTCGTCTTTCACAAATAAACCAACTAAATAAACAACTTGTACTTCTAACTATGAGACAAATGCGTATGTTAAAGGAACTGTATGTAGCCTGCTCTCACGACATCCATTTTATAGTGATGTAACAATAACTCAAACATCGTGATATCGTATCGTCAAAAGTCTCACAATAATACCTTGGGCCATCACAATATATCGAATTACAAATCTCTCTGCTTAAATGAATTGTTATAGTGCAGCAATTTACCTAAAAACAGAGGGAACTACACAGACCATGATCCTTTGCTCGCTTTCTTTCTAACATGTCATACTTCATACTGTCTGCTCTGAAACTGAACAAAGGATCATGGTCTATGTTGTTTCCTCTGTTTATTTTAACTGTTCCTGCAACAAAGCCATGCATTTAATCAGAGAAGCTTATGATTCGATATATAGTGACAGTCCACGATATTACTGTGAGACCTTTGATTGTCTATGGGGAGGAGTAAACGGCCTCTGTGGCTCACTTGACCTTGTCCTGTCCTTCCAGTCCTTCTTGCGCTCCTCTAGGTAGTCCTCCATCTGCACCACCCAGTCCGGCCTAGGTCCAGGGAACAGGTGGGCAGCGTCCAGCTCCAGCAGATGTGACACTCCACAAAGCTACTAGACAACCTCGTTAAGAATTTGCTAAAACTATGCAACAAAATGCAAAGCTCACAATCAAAACTTTAGTCAGCAACTAAAAATGGTAACCTTACAATACTTCAGAATACTTCAAATACCACTCCCTGTCCACACAGTTACTCTTCCCCATAAAGCTTGACAGTACACAGGAGTAGTACTCACATGTTTGAACCTCACTGGGCTCCGTCTCTCTTCCTCTCTTCCTCTCTCTGTCTGTCTATCTCTCCGTCCTCGCTCTACGACTCTGTTTGTTCTGACACTGACTCACGGCTAAAACTTCCCCAGACTCCGCCTCTCTCCTCTAATAGCTCTCTAATAGAGGAGAGATATTTGGGTATCAACAAATGCAAATACGTTAGTTTGCACATATGTACACCAATTGTTTCATAACCAGTAGTTTGGATGCAAGCTCTAACCAATCCATAAGTCATTGAGCAAGACACTGAAATCCAAATGGTCTGGCATGTAGTCTGTGCTCTTACAGTTTTAAAAAAGGTACTGTGATCCACGGGCTTCAGAGTGATGAAAGATTGGCACCATTGCGCCAGTGGTCAAAAGTCCTGAATGTCGCCTACAAACAGGAAGTTGAATCCCATGAGACACATCTAAGTTTATTCTCACTGTATGGACAGACCTCATGTGAAATCTCAGAACCTCAAGAATTCCCTCACTGAGCCAGCCTGTTTTAGCCCTGGTTTAGTCCCGGTTTAGTCTTGGTGTACTCCCTGGTTTAGCCCTAGTTTAGGACCTGGGTTAGTGCTGGTTTAATCCTGGTTTAGCCCTGGTTTAGTCCTGGAGTAGTCCTGGTTTAGTCCCTGGTTTAGCCCTGGTTTAGTCCTGGAGTAGTCCTGGTTTAGTCCCTGGTTTAGTCCTGGAGTAGTCCTGGAGTAGTCCTGGTTTAGTCCCTGGTTTAGTCCTGGAGTAGTCCTGGAGTAGTCCTGGTTTAGTCCCTGGTTTAGTCCTGGAGTAGTCCTGGAGTAGTCCTGGTTTAGTCCCTGGTTTAGCCCTGGTTTAGCCCTGGTTTAGTCCTGGAGTAGTCCTGGAGTAGTCCTGGTTTAGTCCCTGGTTCAGGCCTGGAGTAGAGCTGGTTTAGTCCTGGAGTAGTCCTGGTTTAGTCCCTGGTTTAGCCCTGGTTTAGTCCTGGAGTAGTCCTGGTTTAGTCCCTGGTTGAGTCCTGGAGTAGTCCTGGAGTAGTCCTGGTTTAGTCCCTGGTTTAGTCCTGGAGTAGTCCTGGAGTAGTCCTGGAGTAGTCCTGGTTTAGTCCCTGGTTTAGCCCTGGTTTAGCCCTGGTTTAGTCCTGGAGTAGTCCTGGAGTAGTCCTGGTTTAGTCCCTGGTTTAGTCCTGGTTTAGTCCTTGTTTACTCACAGTACTGGCTTTCTTTCACAGCGAAGTCTTGGACAGGATTTGAGTTGGAGTCCATCCTCACACACAGCACCTGCCTCTGCTGAGAGCTCGACCGACGAATCAAGAATGTCTGAGCAAAAACTCCAGAATCTGCTCACTGTAGGGCTGAACCATACATCAATTATCAAATCACAAAGGCAGCAAATTATTTAGACAACAGAATGTCCTCTGCAAAGAATTTTCAGATTTTTTATCAAAAGAATCTTGTTGTACCTGTAGTTTTACTTCTAGTGCAGAAATGCATGAGGTGAGTTTATAAGTTCAGATTTGAGTCTTTTCTAATGTTCATGCTCCTGGAGGCACATTCATTGATCAGTAAGAATTCACACACGTCAAAATCACTGCATTTAGATGATTAGATGATTCGAATACAACTGTGTTTGTAAATGTGTGGGTAAATACCTTGATGAAGCTTCCTTTCTTCTCCTGTTTGATGGATCGGTTCACTGCAGCAGAGGACATGATGAGAGCGCCCCCTGTCAGCTTCTGAAAGAACACCATAAATATATTTAATGTACAATTTAGGCTTTGTCTTTTGATTTGTCTATTTAAAAATACTGTTCAGCAAATGTGTGGATAAAATGTGGTTAAAAAAGAGAGAATAAGATTCAAAAGGGCTCAGCCGCCAACATCAGATAAAAAGTAAATGTACTAATGATGACCTAGAACTTCTGTGGTAGTTACAGTTCAGATCACTGAGTAAAAATGAAACAATACACAACTTCAGGTAGGTTTCTGAAGGAGAATCATTATAATAATTATAAACTGTTATATAAACTGTAAAAAGACCTTTTTACATAACAGGGCTTACTGTCACGAGGGATGCACCGATCCTTTTTCAGTTCAACATTGAGACTTTTTGGGCCAACTGCGACCAATAAATATAGTTTTATTACATATTTATATGACCAAACTGGATAACTGGATATTTGAACACATTTTTTCAGTATCGGTGCTGATCTTTGATACTAGAATCCCTAAAACCACAAATCACCATTATAATGTTAAAATTTGAAAAGCTTTCAAATTTATAATTTACACAAAATAAATAAATAAAGTATAATACAATAGCAATGGAAAATGATCATGTGACAGAATTATAGCACAGACTTTAAGACATGAGGTTTTAATCTAAAGATAAAAGTCCAGTGTTCAGTCCTGAGTGACAAAATACAGCTCGTCTTTGACTCTTTCTGACACAAAGCTTCAGATCTGAGCTGGAATATCTAACCCACATGTGGAGGAGGACACATGTGCGTCCAGATGTTTGAGAAGATGAAGCCCAGCTGTGAGGAAGCTCCAAACACTTTCCAAGAACACAAATATAAAGTTTAAAGCAGAGAGAAAGCAGGCCAAGCACATGTAAATGTGAGTGCACAGAGGAGCAGGACGTGACAGTGGGATTTATAGAAGAATGATGTGACTCGACCTTTCTCCCACTGACACACTTTTATATCATCTTAACATGTGTGTTTACAAGCAAACAGAAAAGAAAGAATATGATGAGTTGGTGGTTCAGTTCCAGCTCCAATGGACAGGGCAGGAGAGGGGTCAGGTGAAGGGAGGGAGAACATCTACTGGTGAAAAAAATCAAATAAACTTGTAGATGGTAGCTTTAGGCATTAGGCTGCTCAATGTTCTCTTTCAATAAAACACATTTTTAATGTCACACAAGTGTCAACATGAGTGAAATGTGCTGGAGGTGCAGATTAAGATGAACTGTCTCATTCCAGTCAGTCTACTCCAGGGCATCTGAGGCAACAGAAGTAACCTACCCCCACCAGTAGCAGAGTAAAGCAGGAATGACAAGAGTACTATTAACTATAAAGAGTACTATCAAGTTTGAGAAGTGAGTCGTGCTCGTAAAGAACAGCACACATTTAAGATATTAATAAATCAAATTTAAAATACATACATTACAGAACAATCTGCACCAAAAAAATCACAAACTGATAATTCAATTTTGTGTTTTATTTAAACAAGTGCCACAAATCCTGCATCCATCAGTGACCTTAAAGGTGCACTGTGTAACTTTTTGATTGGGGGTCTGTCACCTGCTTGTTTCTATGGAGATGTCATTGCTTTACATTTACATTTATTATATTTCAGGTGGTTTTGACTGTGAACGGGGTTGCCTCTCCCCAAATCTGACCTGTTTCCATGAAGACAGAAAGGCTTAATACCATACTTTGGAACATTCCAGACAAAGCAATATCATCCATGGAGAAAGCATGAAGTAAAAGTTAGAAAGAAAGCTATACTCTTGCACCTTCTCCATGGATAAGGGAAAAACAAACAGTGGGAAAAGAGGGTGAGGAGAGGAAAATAGTCAGAGTGATAAAAATAAATATAGTACAGGTAAGTTTTTATATTAATAGTATTAAATTATTGAAGTACATTAAACAACATAACATCACACATTTACCTAAATCCACTGAATTTTTCACCCTCGGTGTCACATCTGAGCAACAAAGTCCAGAGGAAATTATTTTAATAGATCCATGGGTAAACAGAGCGCCGCTTCCTCTTCTGTGTAGCTGCCTTCAGACTCAGCATCAGTTCCAGTTAGAATTATTCCAGCCTTTCTGAATCCTGACAGGATGGTTTCGGTTGTCAGTGAAGTTCAGACTTTATCCATCCAATGACTTCCAGGAAAGTTGCGCATGGCGCATCCTCCCGGTTACTGTGAAGCTGTCTTTAGCCAGTCCCTCACAAGTTTCTCGCTCACTCCAAACCTTCTTTCTGCTGCTCGATTACAGTTTTAAATGCTCATTTGGCACGAAGTATTGGTGCGATCGACTGACATGACCCAGACAGAAGAGCGGCTCTGCAGAGAGCAGCGCAGTGACAGTGGGACAGGAGGAATGGGAGCAGAGCGCCTTAGCTTAGCTTTGCTAAAGTAGCCATCTAGCTAACGTATTTAGAACTTATCTATCTAGTGTTGTATTTAGTACTTTGCGCATAGTTCAAATGTTCCATGTGGATTCACTACATTTATTGTTAGAAGTTTTAAGTTTGAACATACACTGTGACTTTAGCGTGCGTAAGCGTTGTACGTAAGCGTTGTGCATAAGTTGTACGTAAGCGTTGTTGTACGTAAGCGTTGTGCCGTCGGCGCGCACGCACGCACGCTGTTGCTAAGTGCATCTTTTGAGTGATGCGCGCTCTCTTGCAAACTTTGCAAACCTTGGCTGAGATCGAAAACTTGTATCTGAGAACTTGAATCGACGATTTCTGAATAGAAGAGGCACAAGTCCGACAGAATTTCACCCAGACTTTGACTGACAACCTTCTGCATCGGACTACGAGACGTTTCTGAGGAACACGTGAGGTTTGTCACTTTCCTGGTTCATAGTCCTTCTGTGTTTTCATCATGTTACTGAAAAAGCAATCATTAGCTCAGCAAATGCCCCTTTATCAATGTCTAGGTCATGTTTATGGTATATTTATTCCAAGAAATGTGAGCTCTTGTGTTGCTAATCTCCTAAATATCTGCTGTAGGTGTCATGGTTTTTCCAATAACTCCACCTAAAGTGAGTTAGGTTCCAGTGGTCACTTAACTGACCACTGACTCCAACTAGAGCCTAATAATAGGGTGACTATAGTGAGACGATACATGTAGAAAAGCAACTTTAGCAAATAAAACATGTATTGAGGTACTAGAGGAGGACTCCTGCTGCTTTTATTGGAACATTGTAGTTAAGCATGCAGGCCTTTCCCCAAATGGTTCAGGCTAAAATTCTTTTTTAAAGATACACCTGATTTTCTTGGACTCTGACAAAATAAGACTACACACCACCTCGCCTACAGTCCACTGTATTGTTCCATTAAAATCCGCCCATACCCAGAATTTAGATCCCAAATCCTACTAAGTATACTGACAAGTCTTGAATTTTCAATAGAATTTCCTTGTGCTTTTTAGCATTGTTACGTTTCACAGGTTGACAATATAAATGATATAACTTACATGACAAGTTCCACATGTCAAATGAAAGCATATGTTGAGCTAAATTAAAGATGCACCATTTCTTGAATAGTCCCCAAATGAATGGGTATGTCCCTAGATTGGGTTAAGTGATCTCCAATCAGTTGGGGGGTCTTAGAAGTTGTCTATACAACAAACAAAAAGGAGCTTAAAATCATATTTAATCATAATATAGTCTACTACTTTTAATACTTTATTAGGAATACTTTTAATAATTTTTATTTAAAACAAAGTACAGTCATTTAAATATGTAAATATAGGTGTTTTAACTGTCAGCAACTTGAATAATTATCGTGATGTAATCATTAATCACAGTTATTTTTGCCATAATAATTGCAACACCAAATTTGAATATGGCCCCATGTCGAGTGTTAATTGAACTCTTTATGTTCTCAGCTCTGATTTTAAGATGTGAGCTCTGGTAGCACTAGTGTTTGACGCATTCTGTTCCTCTCCACAGATCCGTGTGGTCCTTGGCCCGGTGATCCATCAGGCGTCCAGACGTCCTGCACAGGACCCCGGCTCTTGCTCTACGTCCTCACACACAAACACACAAACACACAAACACACAAGCACACAGACACACAAACGTTACAGACCCCTGCTTCCACAATGCCTCCTCCTACTCCTCAGCTCTGCTTTTCTGTGCTGCCCTCTTCTTTTGTGTTTAATGACCCTGTGTTACCCCCTAGGTCTGTGCCTGCTGCTGCCGCTGCTGCTGCTACGCACACCAGTGCTGCCCGCCTCCGTATGGCCGCTGCCGCTGCTGCAGCCCGCTGCCCTGTGTCCGCTGCTGCCGTGCGCCCTACGCCCACCACCGCCGCGCTGCCCGCTGCTGCCGCCGCTCTGTGCCCGCCACTGCTGCTGCCTGCTGCCCTGTGCCCGCCGCTGCTGCCCGCCGCCCTGTGCCCACCGCTCCTGCTGCTGCCGCCCACCGCCCTGTGCCTGCCGCTGCTGCTCGCCGCCCTGTGCCCGCCGCTGCTGCTGTCCGCCCTACGCCCGTCAGGGGCCTTCAGATAATCCCTGTCCCTGATGGTATGTTTTCTGGTTTCAGGCATCCTCACTGTGCTCTGTCTCGGAAGCGCCCAGCTTGTGCCGAGCCCGCTCGCCCTGCGAAGTTTCCGAAGCTTTCCTCCTCTTCTCCTGCCCCTGCCCCTCTTCTCCCGCTGCTGGAGCTGGACACTGCCCGCCTGTTCCCTGGACCTAGGCCGGACTGGGTGGTGCAGATGGAGGACTACCTGGAGGAGCGCAAGAAGGACTGGAAGGACAGGACAAGGTCAAGTGAGCCACAGAGGCCGTTTACTCCTCCCCATAGACACAAGTACTCCTTTTATTTTAAGAACTGATCCTCTTTCTGTTTGTGTTTCAGTCACAGAAGAGGATTTGGAGTCTTGCAGTTAAGGGTGGCGCATCACTTAACCAGCAATTGCACACAACAAAACAAAAAAACATTATTATTATGCTGTAAATAGTTTGTTGTGAACAATTTTTAGATTTTTTTTAGATTTTTTTAGAATACATTTGTATTTGGTTTTCCTAGGGACAGAAATGGAGGACATGTCAAAGCAAAGAAGCCAATGTGAAAAGAAAACAAGATCTTACAGTATGTCTGGCTCTTTTGGACATTTGAGAATTCAGTGGAAAATCAAGATATTCACAGGGCCTCTTGTTCCAGAGTCTGCCTGAGGTCCAGGCTCAGGTGCTGAGGTGGCACTGTCACGTGTCCAGCTCAAGACTCAAAGCACCATGGCCTATGTGCTCCATATTCTGCACGAGGACCAGTGTGCTGTCCACCGACCTGCCGGAACCACCTCTGATGCCCCCTGTATTCTAGAGCAACAGTCTCCGAAGCAACACTGAGCCAAAGCAACATGTGTGGCGACTGAATGACAGCACACATTTTTCCTGTTGTTTGGGACTTAAATACAGGAATATATGACAAATATATTGGGCACAATGGTGAGTACTGATTCATTATTACCACATTACTTTACAGAAAAATAATACTTATTTCTTTTCCTTTGAGCTTCCAATATCAGGCAGGTCTCTGCAGAAAGAGGAGGAGGGGAAAACACTGAAGGTAACAAAAGCAAAGAATATATAGTACAGGTAAGTTTTGTGTTTATAGTATTGAATTATTGAAGTACAGGACCTTTACTTTTCTTATTTTTTTTACAATGAGATGGAACTTTACAGTGGGGGCTGTGGAGAGGAGGAGTAGAGGAAGGAGGCTTATATACATGTTGTCACACAAAATACAGGTACATTGTCAACAACAATGAATTGCATTTGTCTCTCTAAGTATATTATATATTTGTGTTTTTTTTTTTCTGTGCTCCCAGAGTCTGCCTGAGGTCCAGGCTCAGGTGCTGAGGTGGGACTGTCACGTGTCCAGCTCAAGAGACAAAGCACCATGGCCTGTGTTCTCTCCATGCTTCCCAATGACGACCCGTGTGCTGTCCACCAACCTGCAGGAAACGCCTCAGATGTCCCCTGTATCCCCGAGTAACAGCTCCCCAAAGTGACAAACAAAGAATATACAGTACAGGTAAGTTTTTATATACATTTACAGTATGAAGTTGTTGAAGTACAGGAAATGTATTTCTTGTTTTTTTCTTACAGTGAGATGGAACTTTAGACTGCAGGCTGTGGAGAGGAGGAGTGGAGGAAGGAGGCTTATATCCATGTTATACAAAATACAGGTACATTGTCGACAACGATGAATTGCATTTGTCTCTCTAAGTACATTATATATTTGTGTTTTTTTTTTTTCTGTGTTCCCAGAGTCTGCCTGAGGTCCAGGCTTAGGTCCTGAGGTGGGACTGTCGTGTGTCCAGCTCAAGACTCAAAGCACCATGGCCTATGTGCTCCATATTCTGCACGAGGACCAGTGTGCTGTCCACTGACCTGCCGGAACCACCTCTGATGCCCCCTGTATTCTAGAGCAACAGTCTCCGAAGCAACACTGAGCCAAAGCAACATGTGTGGCGACTGAATGACAGCACACATTTTTCCTGTTGTTTGGGACTTAAATACAGGAATATATGACAAATATATTGGGCACAATGGTGAGTATTGATTCATTATTACCACATTACTTTACAGAAAAATAATACTTATTTCTTTTCCTTTGAGCTTCCAATATCAGGCAGGTCTCTGCAGAAAGAGGAGGAGGGGAAAACACTGAAGGTAACAAAAGCAAAGAATATATAGTACAGGTAAGTTTTGTGTTTATAGTATTGAATTATTGAAGTACAGGACTTTTACTTGTCATATTTTCTTACAGTGAGATGGAACTTTACAGTGGGGGCTCTGGAGAGGAGGAGTGGAGGAAGGAGGCTTATATACATGTTGTCATACAAAATACAGGTACACTTGAGAGCTCTACGGATTCTATTTGTCCCTCCTCAGAGTATACTGAATATTTGTGTTTTTTGCAAAAGGTCCAGGCTGGGTCAGGAGGGAGGCTGATGTCCTGAGGTGGGACTGCCGGGTTACTAACTCACAACAGGTAAGTTTTTTATATTTATAGTATAAATTATTGAAGTACATTTATTTGTGTTTTTTTCTTCCAGTGAGATAGAACTGTGGAGAGGAGGAGTGGAGGAAGGAAGCTTATATCCATGTATCTCATATCCAGGGACAGAAATGGAAGGCCACTGCCAAACGTGTCAGTGATGTTCATGCTTTATCAGTGCATCTGTCTTGTATGCAGTTCAGCTCTGATCATCTCATCTAAGTGGATGTGGACACTCCTTCCCACACTTCTGCTGAGCAACTGCGTTCACACAGGTTGTGCCCTGTCCGAGCGGCGCATGGCATCCTTTACCAACACCGTAATGCTACACAACACAGTGAACACAAGGCTCTGGGAAACCTGAACATTTTCCTTAAACACCATAATGTAAGTACTGTAATGCACTGTCCTTACGCACAGCTCATTTTTAAGTGCATTCATGGTGGACAACAAAATGTATTCTATTTAATTGTCTTCTGGTCTGTTGTCTTCTTAGATTCAGGAGTAGGACCATGCCTCAACCTCCCCCTGCTCCTCTCCAGCGAACCAAGCTCAGCTCAACCACACCTTCAATGACCCAAAAGCCCTATTTATACAGGCCTATCCCAACAACACCGTCTGTCTCTGCTCTCTCGACCCCCTCCCTCCCACCCCGTACCTCTCATTCATCCTTCAGCCTGAAGACCTCATCTTCTACAAAGGGTGGGTCCTAAATCGGTCCGGCTGCCCACCTGAGACAGAGCCCCCATACAGAGTCTCCTCCCAGCCATCACATCTCGCCATCGTCAATAAATATCTTTACCGTATTCCATTGTTGTGGTCCTTGCTAGAGAAATACTACTGTGTGTCTGAAGATGAAGAGTTTCTGTCCGATATTAAGTCACGTGTCAACTGCTCGAGCCTAAACTTGTCCTCAACAAGCTGATAAGAACATTAGCAGCCAACAGCATAAGCATTGTTTACTCTTGTATGTCGTATTTGAATAGCCCCTTACTTATTCGAACTATTTAACTTGCCTTCAGTTATTCCACTTGTATTTATTTTTTTCATTTTAGTTCTAGCTGAAGATAATAAATATATTTGCATGCATAATCTAGTTGTTTTTGCATTTCTGCTACCAGATGCCACCAAAAGCTATTCAAACTGTAATAAATGTAATAGCTGCAAGATTCTTATCATAGGCCTACTGATCCTGAATCAGGATACTGATTTCCTCCTCCACCAGCCACAATAAAGCTGTTCTCCTCAGCGCCGGGCGTCTCTCGGATGTGCTGATGCACATAAACACATACACACATACATACACGCATACACACAAACATACATAATTTAAAGCCAAAACAAATTAAAATAAAATTGACATACATTCTGCTCCCTCCGGTGTTCTGCCGTGTGCTGTAGGAGCAGCCAGTGCTGTGGGTTGGTGTTGTGACCGTAGCTGCTTACAGCATTGTAGTTTTGCTGACGTTGTTGGAGCTGATTTGAGCAGTAGATCAGGTTGCTGCTGTGGAAACTTTGCCTTTGGCTGTGTGTTATAACAATTGTAACGCTGATTTATTATTCATTACAAAAAAAAAAAAAAATTATAATTTGGTGTTCAAGACGATTATCCTATCAGAAAGCAGGACAAACCTCACATGAGTCTCTCATTTGAGTTGCCAGTTCCAGTACCTAAATGGTCACTCCCTAAACTCCAGCACCTGCAGCCAGACATGAGTCTGTAGCCTCTGGAGCTCAGGGAGGGAATTCTGGAGATTCTGAGCTTCACATGAGGCCTGTCCATAAACTGAGAATGAGACAAACTTGAATGTGTCTCTGTCTGCAGGTGAAGGCTTTGAGGACACAGGTTCAGTTGTGACTGTACTTTTTTTAAGTGTAAAAGTGCAGGTTGCATACATTTCTTTGGACTCCTAAACCCTAAGACAATATTTCCCTTCTCACCTGCACTGCTCCAAATATCCAGCAGAGGTCACCACACTCAAGAAAATGACACCGGAGCAGGTGCTCTGTCTGAAGCTCTGTTACTAGAGTGAGTCATTATTGTGAGCCTTAATTGATCACACTCTGACCAGAAAGAACAACAGCAGGTGATTTGTGCTGTTAAACAATTCCCTCTCAAATGCTTTCCAGCTGATTTCCAGTCACTCTTGGTTTATGGTTCATATCTTTGTAATTATTGGGTTGACCACATTAAACTAAAATGGTCACAAAATTCAATATCTTCTCTGTCAGTGTACATAAAAAAAGTTAAGTGATTTTTTCATAATATCTTCAGAAAGTGTTGCCATTATTCAGTCCTGAAGACGTGAGGGTTGTCAGTTGAAAGGACTTCAAACATGAGATGTCTGTGCAGCCAATTCCAAACAAATGAGAAGGTTCAGCATTTGTGAATCATCATTTTGAATATTTCTTTCAAAAACAGTGAATCTCCCATAGTTACATAGGTTCCTGCTCTATCTCAGGTGATGATCTGAAAATTTTAGAACACACCCTATTGACACTTTGCAGCAACATCACGCTGGGGGTTTTCTACATCTGTGCCTATGGAGGAATATTCAGCAGTGGAGGCACAATGCACACATTAGCAAACACTGCCAAAAATGTTTTAAGATTGTCTGAAAACTCAAGAAAAAAATAAAACAGATTTCAGGAGCTTTTGATCAGTGTTGGTTGTCCTGTTTAGGAGTTTGATTTACAACAAAAAAATGAGAGAAAACTGTTGGCTAATGCTGCTGTGACGTTTACCCTATTTTTTAAAACTATAAGTCGCACTTTTTTCATGGTTTGGGTGTTTCCTGCGACTTATACTCCGTTGTGACTTATATATTTATTTTTTCACCCTGACAGCCTTGAGAGGCTCTAGTCTTGTGTGTGAGTATCTGCTGCTCCTGTTTGTCCTGTACCACTGTCATTTGGCCAGAAAGAGCCTCTGTTCTGTCTGTCCATTACTTCTGCACTACTGAAAATGTAACATTTAAACAACTTTATAAAGACGACTGAGAAGACTGAACACAAATGCCCCCAAAAAGAAAATCAGATTTTGCAGATTACAAACTGCAAATCGTGAAATCTGCAGCTGAAAACGGTAATCGAGCAGCAGAAAGAAAGTTTGGAGTGAGAGAGAAACTTGTGACACCAGGAGGATGCACCATGAAACTTTCCTGAAGTCACTGGATGGATGAACAAAGCCTGGACTTCAGTGACACAGAAACCATCTTGTTAGGACTCAGAATAGCCCGAATAATTCTAACTGGAACTGATGCTGAGTCTGACGACAGCGACACAGAAGAGGAAGTGACGCTCTGTTTACCTCCGGAGGTCGAGAAGAAGTGACACCGAGGATGAAGAATTGAATGGATTTAGTGATTTGGAATGAGATGGAGAGTTTGGTAAACTTGTTCTGTTCTGTTGTTGATGTTATATTTATCTGAAGAACTGTTCATATGTGACGTTAACAGTCTGTTGTTCTCTCTTCTATTATTATTACTAGAACTTGACTTTACACAGGAAATGTCGGATCTGATCTCTGATTTTATAAAAATAAATTTCCCCCAAAAAGTGCAAAAACTTATAGTCCGGTGCAAGTTATATATTTTTTTCTTTCATTATGCTTTTTTTTTTTTTTTTTTTTGGCTAGTGTGATTTATACTCCGGAGTGAGCATAAGTAATGTTTTTGGAGAGGGACTTGTTTCACAGCACAAATCAGCTCTTCCTGATCAGATTGTGTTAAAACAAAGTTCAAATTAAAGTCTGATAAAGCTTCCAACAGAGCAATGCCTCTAGTTAGTGTCACACCCTCAGGAAATGTTAATGCTGCGAAGTATCATTTGCATATTTTAGCATAATTGATCAGCTCTGGGATTTGAACCTGGGACCTTCTCCCTGTGGGTCTGATTCTAACCTCCTCATATTCAAAACCAGTTCACTATTTGTTTAGTTTTTTTTTCTGTGTGTTTTATTTCTTTCCTGTTGTGGTTTCCTGTCGTCCACGTTCCCGCAGATTGAGATGCGTCGTGTACGTTTGACACAGCAGATAAAAATAGTACCTGCAAGCGGAGATGAGGGGCTGAGGCACAGGACTAAAAATAACATCATCTAAACCATAACATGGGAATTCTATCTCATATGGGATTGGATTATTCTTCTGTTTACATCCTGTGTGTCAGATGCCCTCCCGTCCTTCTATATCCCTGTGTATTAATGTGTGTCAGATGCCCTCCCGTCCTCCTGTAAAAGGCTGTCAAATGAAGGACATGTGAAATGTGAAATTGTAATAATAAAATAATTACTACTGCTACTGCTACTACTACTACTACTACTACTACTACTACTACTACTACTACTACTACTACTACTACTACTACTACTACTACTACTACTATTACTACTGGGTTCGGTCAAGTGTTAACGGAGGGAAACAGGGGCAGATTTTTGACATTCAAATGTCTCTTATTCAGAAACTAGAGGGACTATTGAAATAAGTAAAGTATCAGAATGTAGGAAAGAGTTACACTCCAACAGGGTCAAGTTAAACCTGTGATATTCTTTCAAGTTGTTGACAAAAAATGTAAAAACTCATGTCGGTAACGGAGGGAATGAAATATGCAGCACTTTTTGGGCAATAAATCCAAACAGTGATAACTCTTGGTTCTCACTTCCATATCCTTAACAAACTGGTTTGAATATTTGCTTCATATAGTTTTCTACCATATGGTACAAGATTAGGTTGAAAAACCTCTTACTTTTTGACTCATGAGATTTTTGATTAAGAAAGGTCATGGTAACGGAGGG